GGGGAGCAGGGAGCTTTTATCAGCCCAAGCGGGTATTTCAAGGCTGAGACTGGTGCTCAGTCTCCACATCAGACCTGCACTCACTGCTCTGGGACTTCCAGAGCAATGTTGCCCCAACTGTCAGGACTCTGCAGACCATGAGGACGGCAGTCCTGACTCCTAAAAGTGACCACATTTAGAGCAGACCCCTGAGCCCCACTTCTTCTCCAGCAAACGCACCAGCTCTGAGGCTCCCCCAGCCCTGAGTTCCGAGGCCCCTTGCCCAAGGAGAACGAGGAGAAAAGAACAAATGAGCTGAGTATAGACGTGGCTGCTGTTCATCCCTAAGGCTGGAGAGCAAAGGGCAGTCTGGCGGCTCACCCCGGAGCACAGAAAGTGCAGGGAAAGGGCAACGGAAGCTTGGGGGAAATGCAGCTCAGACTCAAGGACTTAAAAGTGTCTACCCCAAAATTAATGCGACTTAACGATGCCACCAGCTACGACACTAACCGTCTCCTGCCTACCCGCTACAGTTGCCTACATTTTGATTTTGGTTTCATAGATCTGGAAGAAATCTGCTTGCAGTCAGAAACGTTAGTGAGATAATCCCAGAGAGATAAATATCTGCCGCAGTCGTTTAAACATCTGATGCCGCCTCCACCCATGACCCCATCCACGGCTCGCCTGGCCTCGCCTCATCTCTGCCAACCTAAATTCCTCCTGCTTCAAGTGAAGCTCTTTCCCTATAATTTTCCTTCATCTCCTGATCAATAAAACCTAGATTTACAGGCCAAGAACAAGCAAACAAAAAGTACCCGTGAGCTTGTCTAAACTAGCTTTCATCGAGAAATGCGGCACAAATAAAATGAGTGATTGGTGAGGTGTGAGCTTTGTTTAACTGGGTTTATTTTGGTTGAGAAGCAAGCTCACATTAACTTGGCCATGCAGGAGTGATGTGACTGTCCCCCGTTCTGTCAAAAACAACAGCAGACTAACCTCCCTGGCCTCATAGCTGGCCACTTCTGAGGATGGGGCAGGGCTTACCATGCACTCAGGACTACGAGCCTTTTCCAAATGTTCTCTTGTCTACAACCCTCCGAGCATGGTGCAGATATTAATTAGTGTTTCTAACGCCTTGCACTGTCATTATCTGTTGATGAAGAGACAGACGTGTCTCCGACAACATCCAGGCCAGCCAAGGTGACATTGCTTTCCTTTGCTCCAAAGCTGTACTCTGTGCCCTAGTTGCAGTCATCCGCACAGAGTCATTACCATCTTACTTTTGGAAACATTCCCACTCCACTCTGTCGCTGTCTCCAGCACTGTCACTGCAATAAGATAAGAGCCCCAGGCTGGGTCTAGTGGCTCACCCCTGTAATCCCAGGACTTTGGGAGGCCAAGGCGAACCTGAGTCAGGAGTTCGAGACCACCCTCTCAGCACCATCACCCTGGCCAACATGGTAAAACCCCGCCTCTATTAGAAAAACAAAAATTAGCTGGGCATGGTGGCATGCCCCTGTAATCCCAGCTACTCGGGAGGCTGAGGCAGGAGAATCGATTGAACGCAGGAGGTGGAGGTTGCAGTGAGCTGAGATCACACCACTGCACTCCAGCCTGGGCGACAGAGCGAGACTCTGTCTCAAAAAACAAACAAAAAGAGCCCCAGTGCACCTCCAGTGTCCTGGGATCCTGCAGCTCCCGCCCTCCTGGGTGCAGGTCCCTAACTTCCTCCACCTACCCACCCACCTTCACCCCCACCTGCCTGCTCCACCCTCTTCTGCTTCCCAAAGCCACGGCCAGACGCACCTCCCCAGACGCGGCCTGGCTGGCCCTCCTCTGCTCAGGAATGCACTCGGGCTGGTAATTACTGGCCACGTCAGGTCACCAGCTTGTTTGTCTTGTTCTGGAGACTTCCGTGTTTTCTTGGCTCCCGTGTGAGCTTGGTCACCTCTGAGCCTCTTGCATGCCTCTCTCCTTTCCCCCAGCCGTGGCTCCGGCCACCAAAGCCAAGCCATAGCAATGTCCACTGTGTGTGGTGAGAACACTGCACCCAGAGCTCTGCAGTGCCTCTTACCTCACCCAATCACCACACTCAGCCACACACAACAGGCAAGCTCAGTTCCCACTTCGCACACTGGAAAACAGCCTCAGAACAGTCCAGCAGTTTGCACAGGATTACACAGCTACAGCCTGGCCCACCCTTTGGTTCCTCACTGCCGTGGTGCGCAACCGCCTCTGAAGCCCGGAGGCCTCGCTGTCTTCTAGATCCCGGAGCAGTGACTAAAAGACCCCGACGTGCAGGATGTAGACGAGATAAGAGTTGGGGTCCCTGGCTTAAAAGAGCTTGTAATGAATTAAATCAGCAGAAAAGACAAAAGTAATAAAAAGAATTGTCATTAATATAAGGCAGCAAATGATTAATACCAAAGAAGTGGCAAAGCCAGTCGTTGCTGTGGAAGACGGAAAATGTGTTTGAGGCTGGCGTGGTGCAGGGACCGCTTCTTGGAGAAGGGGGCCTCTGAGCGAGGCTGGCAAGGTGGGCATGCCTCCGTGTCTTCGTGACCCCGGGGGACAGGCCTCCACTGGGAGGATCACAGCATCCTCTGGAGCCCTGGGCTCTGGCGCTGTGTTTCTCTGTGTTGCTGCTTAATGGTTTCCTAAGATGCAGTCTGTCTCCCTGACAACGCTGAAGGTGTTATCTTACAAATAGAAAAAGGCCCAAATTTTTAAAATATACACTTTGATTTCCTTCACAGCCAGGTTACAGTGTGATTGTGAGGCCTGGCATGGGACTTGGCAGCTCCTGGTGCCCAGGGAACTTGGAACTGCGCTGGGGCCTGTAGCAAGGGGCCCACGAAGAACTGAGGGTTGACCTGGGCCTCCCTCCAAACTCTGGGTGAATGGAAATATTAATAGCTGTCTGGCAGATGCACTGATTTAACTCAGGGCAGTGATTAATAGGTCTTAGCCTGTTCGTGTGATTATAACAAAATACCCGAGGCTGGGTCATTTGTGAAGAACAGACGTTGAATCTCACACTCTGAGGCGGGGTCCGAGATCAAGGTACCAGCAGGTTCAGTGTCTGGTCAGGGCGGCTCCTCTCAGACAGCGCCTTCTCCATATCCTCACATGGCAAGAGGTGAGGAAGGAACAGACTCGCCCCTCGATCCCCTTTCTAATAAGGAGCTAATCCTCCTGCACACCCTCCTCTCAACACCATCACACTGGTGACCACATCTCCACATATGAATCTTGGTGGACACATTCAGGCCACAGCAGACGCGATGGAAAGGATAGTTCAAAACATAAAAATGGTCACAATTGTAGTAGCAAAAGGCCAGCCTCCTGTCTGGACTGACACTGGGCCTTCTGCTGTGACTTTCCTGAGAGCCTCACGCCCCTCCTCATACGCAGGCCTCCTTCATTCTCTCTGGGGTCCTGGGCTAGGAACCTCCACGCCCACCACGCACTGTTCACCTTCTGCTGCCCCCACAGCTTAGACGGCCCGCTCACCCAGCATTTCCCATCTGCCTCCTACACCAGCTCTTCACATCTCAGCTTAGCCACGACTGTCTCTCGGAGCACTCCTGACCTTCCGACTGGTCTAGGGGCTTTCCTACGCACCTCCAAGGCAGCCTTGAAGCCCCAGTGGTCTTTCTCCCCACCAGGCTGTTTTCCTAAGGCAGGAAGTCTGTATTTGGTGCCATTACACACTGGGTGCTGACCAGGCTGACCAGGCCTACCCTCGGGGACTGTTTGTGAATAGCGGAGTAGCAGGGGCAGTGGAGAGACCTCAGCTCTGCGTTATCCATCCACTAGCAGCCATCCCCTTGTCTGCCATGGTAGAACGTGAATCTTAGCAGAAACGAGCAAACCACCCCAATCATAAAACTGTATGCATTCCTACTCAATTCATTATCCATCAAGATGTGAATTTATAATCCTGGTAATTATTAATCAATAAAATTAGACCAGATAAGTCCCTGAATTGTCATATGTAAAAATGAGAATGTAAAAAGAGCTAGTTGAGAGGTCACAACACAGAGGAAGTCCTGGTATGGTGGTCACACGTGGAATCCCAGCACTTCGGGAGCTGAAGCCAGCCCGGAAGCTCCATCCTGGGCTACACAGTGAGGCCCCATCTCTCAAAAAAAAAAATTAAAAATTAGCCGGGTGTGGTGGTGCACGCCTGTTGTCCCAGCTACTCGGGAGGCTGAGGTGGAGGATCGCATGAGCCCAGGAGTTTAAGGCTGCAGTGAGCCATGATCATGCCACTGCACTCCAGCCTGGGCTATAGAGCGAGACCCTGTCTCAAAAATAAATTAATAATTTTAAAAGCACACGTACAGAGGAAGAAGGCCTGAATGATTCTGAAAGCCCATCCTGCACCTGCTCTCCCCACAGAATGACTCCAGCTTTGCCTGGGCACTCACAAGGAGAGCCAGGCCCAGGCCATTCCCACAGTGATGCGCCATCAGGTGAAGGAGCCACGTCCGCTCCCACACTCACCGTCGCTGCATCACACGTGGGCAAAGGAAGAATCGGACACTAAAGGTTGCCAGTTACCTTTTCAGGGAACTACATGTCCCCACTTGTTTTCTAGATTGAAATGAATGGCTTCAAGGTGTTTAGAGGCTCCTGTCAACGCCCCCTCATGCTTGGAAATGAATGCAAGCTGCAGATTCAGGTTGCCTTCTCCACCTGCTGCAAATGCACCTTTAATGGCTGGCACACATCACGTTTTCCCGGGGAGCTGATGAGTCACCTGCCTTTCCACTCATAGGCTCCCGCCCACCTCAATCCACCCTTCTTTGTGTCTCTACAGGTAGAGAAAATTGCCTGCATTAGCTGCCCCGACAGCACCCACTACTCCCAAGGGTGAACATTCAGAAGCGAGAAGGCGCTCCTCTCAGAGCCGGTCTGGACCGCTACAACAGGAACAGTTAGAATAATTTCTAAAGCTGGGCCTTCTACCAGGCACTGACTTAAGAACTTTTGAAGTTATTCTAATTGGCATTTTTAACGTTTCATCTTTGAATGTTTAAAAATATTCATTTAATGTAATTGTCAAGTAGGTAATGTGATCAGGCACCACCAGCTCATGTCCCAGCTTCTGGGCAGGTGTCTGTGGCTTCACAGCTTCCAGTCTCCAGCAGAGACTGCCACTCATCGTTCCCAGCAAAGCTCCAGAGTTCATCTGGAACCTGAAGGGCAAGCAATCCAAGTAAGTTAATCTGAGAGAGAGAGAGAGAGAGAGAGATACAGAGAGAGAGAGAACTGTCCTCCTTAATAACAAGAGATAATTTGTAGTGTCACCTTCAGCAGTAACTTTAACCATTTTGGAATATTATTGACACCTGTTCCAATGGAAGGACTGGAAGGCATTGACATCTGTTCCAATGGAAGTCTCTGATAAAGAAGTCTTTATCAATATCTAAGTAAGTTTTGACCTTCTATTGCATGCCATTTTGTAAGAGCAGAGATATTTCATATTGCTTCTTACCTCCAAGAGTTTCAGTCAACAGCTAAAATGACTCTTCTTGAAATAATGTATGCTGCTTTGAATCTACTCCTCAAAATTTACACCCCACTTAAAATGCTTTCCCAATTTTCCCACTTATCTAAGGCCTTGCTCATAACCGAATCCTTTGAAAAATATTACCATTTTCAAAATGTTTCCATATGCTTAACTTTCAATATACCTGCACCAGGCACTCAGCATGAATGGAGTCAACGCAAGTCCTGTGCTGCATTTCCCCAAAAAAGCCTATTCTGTCCAGTGTCACAACTTGAAGCACATCAATCTGAGAACATCCCAGAAAGAACATCATTTCATCAGTAACTATGAGGAGATGATACATGTTTAGCCTACAAGGAAGCAGATGCAAAACAATGTCAGTGAATGCTCACATGATCTTTTGATGAAGAAGGTCTATTTTTTTTTTTTTACCAATAATACAAAAGCAAAGACAGAAACAATAAGGAAAACAGTTACAACTTTTATACCTAAAAGTGTAAAATCTCTAGATGCCAAACTTCAATTAACAAAATTGCAAACAAATGAAAAATCCAAATGAAATACTTGCACTATGCATGAGAAACAAAACATTTATTTTCTAGCATATTTGATTATTTTAACAATCAGTAAGTAAAAAAGATAACTCCCATAGAAAAAAAGTGAAGCCAGGGCGTAATTGCCAACTCATTAAAAATATGTAAATGTATAACATTTATATTAAAATGAGAGATATAACAGCAAACATATTCATAATATTCAATCTTTCTAGAGTTCAAAGAAGCATGTATCAAAAAAATGAGAAACCAGTTTTGTCATTGGAAAAGTTGTATTTATTTTTTATTACGTTTTGATAAAAGCCTATTTTTGGTGACAGTCTGACAAATCAGATGCTCTGAAATATGGGTGGAGGAAATGTAAATGTAAATTCATGCAACTTTTCTAAATATTGACAAAACTCAGTATTTACCAGGATGCTTAAAGATTTCAAACACTTTGGCCGGGCATGGTGGCTCACGCCTGTAATCTCAGCATTTTGGGAGGCCGAGGCAGAAGGATCGCCTGAGGTCAGGAGTTTGAGACCCGCCTGACCAACATGGTGAAACCCTGTCTCTACTAAAAATACAAAAATTAGCAAGGCGTGGTGGTGCACACCTGTAACCCCAGCTATTCGGGAGGCTGAGGCAGGAGAATTGCTTGAACCAGGAAGCAGAGGTTGCAGAGAGTGAGCTGAGATCATGCCAGTGCACTCCAGCCTGGGCAACAGAGGGAGGTTACATCTCAAAAACAAAACAAACAAACAAAAAAAGATTTCAAACACTTTAACCTAATTGTTCCATACCTGGAAATCTAAGGAAATAATCAGGAATGAGCAAATTTTGGAATTCAAGAATATTTGTTGTAACATGATTAGTAACCACAAACCAATGATCTTAAATGTTCAAGAACAAAAGGGAGAAATCAACTGAGTTTATTCCACATTTGATAGAAAACTACAGAGCCACTAGTACAAATGGGATTTTCAAAAGCATTTATTAACCTGGAAAAATGTTTATGCCATTGTTAAGAGAAAAAGCAGAATAAACACATTGCAAATAATAATGATTTCATCAGGAATACGTGTTAAAATTACCTATGTATCTATATTTATTAAAAGTTCCGCTCACCGACATTTTAGATATACTGAGAACCACCAATATGCCGTGTGATCCCAATTCTACTGCATACAAAATATTGAAACAAAATCCACAAAACACTCATTGCGTTTTTGCCCTACTTTATACATTCATCATTTTAAAAAAGAGGGCAATTTTTTTTTTTTTTTTTTTTTGAGACAGAGTCTCCCTCTGTCACCCAGGCTGGAGTGCGGTAGCGCGATCTCAGCTCACTGCAAGCTCTGTCTCCCGGGTTCACGCCATTCTCCTGCCTCAGCCTCCCAAGTAGCTGGGATTACAGGTGTCTGCCACCACGCCCGGCTAATTTTTTGCATTTTTAGTAGAGATGGGGTTTCACTGTGTTAGCCAGGATGGTCTTGATCTCCTGACCTCATAATCTGCCCGCCTCGGCCTCCCAAAGTGCTGGGATTACAGGCGTGAGCCACTGGGCCTGGCCAGCAATTTTTAAAAGTACAAAATGAGACCTTTAATCTGGCATAAGATATGCCACTAATATTGTTTTTCTTTATTTTAGATTCCATTTCTTTGTTTCCTTTTTATTTTTATAGAGATGAGGTCTTGCTATGTTGCCCAGGCCAGTCTCAAACTTATGGCTTAAAATAATCCTCCTACCTCAACCTCCCCAAATGCTGGAATTACAGGCCTGAACCATCGCTCCTGGCCTAGATTTCATTTCTTAAATCAAATTTTCCTTTGATAGCTTACCTCATACCCAAGCCGAGAGCCACTTTGGTAGCACATTGAGATACACAATTGCTTGCATCTTTTATTGATGCTTTTCATCACTTTTCAAATTGACAAAAATTTCCCAAGAGACAACCGAAAGTTAAACTCAATGTTCACATAATGTTCACTCAATGTTTAAGAAAATGTCATGTTTTCTTTCCTAATTTAAACATATCTGTCAGATAATAAACACTGACTTTTTTAACTTAAGGACTATGTTTTGCTGAAAAAGCTTTTTTTTGAACAGGAAAAGGCAGTTAATGAATTCAAACATTCTCCTCTTCCTACTTCTAACTCATGAAGCTAAAAACAGTTCATTGTATCATAGATCACTTTCTACTCTGAAAACATGGACAGAGCTCACTTCCTAGAGTGGCAGAAATCAAACACACTTGCTAACAACATAAGAGTCATATCTATTAAGAGCTCCTAATAGCTTATAATCAATCAAGTTAAAATCAGTTAAAAATAACATGTGTTCCCTTTCTGCTAGGATCCAACTCATCATTTAGGACGTGGTTGGAATAGGAATTGCTCAGTGGAGACTAACGCTAACTCTTTGTGCTCCTTCTTTCCCTCTTCGTATTTTCTGCTTTCTCTATCCCATCTACATTGATACAGCATTGCCTGTTTTGCCTCTTAATTGAGCCCGAGATCTCAGGGTGCAAGGTTACAGATTTCTTGCAAAGCACAGTCCACAGCTGGTGCCAAGACATGTGATCGGGATGCCTAACCTTAACTGACACTATGAGCTACAAAACTGACAAACCCCAAAGTTACTGAGATTTTAAAGGTGCTCAGCTCTCATGGCATATGTTTAATGCACGAAAGAGCACGTTCTTGAGATTGTTCAAATCAACATCGGCCAGCCTGCTAAATACTTACCTGTGCACTTCTGGATCAAGCTCTGTGGGCATAGCGGGTCATCTGAACTCGGGTAGAAATGTGTTTTGTCATCAATAACCTTCCCGCTGTGGCTAACCAGTGCCTGCTGTCCCCATGAATCTCCTCCTCTGCGCAATGTGCATGAAGCCTGTGCTCTTCCTCATAGCCCTCTACCTGTAATCCCAGCACCAAGGCCAGCTTCGCGGGCAGGCAACCTCCTCCGCACACCGCTCCCTGTTCCCTGTTGGGTTTAATTAGGAATGCAGCCTTCCCAGTGTTAAAATAAACCTATGTCTGCAAAATAGGACGATTCAGCTAGACAGTTGTCATGATTGCAAAAATGTCTTGATTTAGAGATACCTATTTTTCCCTTATTATCTACTTTCACACATGACTAAAGCAAATTATAACCAAACCTCATTAACTTAGAATTATACAAGTAAGCCTCATCTAATTCATTAAAATCTGAATTACAAAATATGTTAAGAGAAATACAACATTACTTTTTAAAAAAGAAAACAAAAGCAAGACAGAATTCATTTGTAATTTGGTATTTGTCTGACTTTCCTATGAACTATTAGGATGTTTTTCTTATATTTCTCTGCAAACCTGTTCCGTTTTCCACCCATGATTACAAGCTGCATAGATGATCTACTTCCCTTTCTAGATTGTGACATCTTTGAATGTAGAATCTGTCCCCATTTATCTGGTAATCCCTGCTGGCGTACTTGCTGCACTGTGGCCACCAACGGGTGTTTCTTCAACATTTAATAATGGTGCAATTTAACAAAATTCTATTAAATTTGTTTCTCTCTACATGGAAATGTAATTTTATCTTATTAGAACTATTTCACTCTTAAACAGCCTAAAATAGCACTCTTGGAGTGAGGAAATGAATATAAACTAAGAAGACACCTGTGGGGACCTTTGTCCCAATCCCCATCGTTACTCTTCCAGCCACCTGGCGAGGATACAGGCTCAAAGGCAGGTGTTAGGCTGAGATCACCCGGTCACCAGGTCCAGGGCTCTCGGATGCCCCGCTCTCACCACTGCCACATGCGAGAGCAGAGAGAGAGCTCCTTAAAGCCCGTTTATTTAGCATTTTGATCTTTTTCTGATTTCTTATAATTTATAAATTTGAAGAATGCCTTCTTCCGAACTGGGAGGGGGTGTAACCAAAGCCTGGAGGCCACTGTTCCGATGTCTTTGCGGCCAGAGCTTCTTTTATTATCCTGAGTCAGAGCCTCCCGAAGCCGCTGAGGAACGCCCACAGGGGGTGGGGTGGGGACACCGCGCATTCAGGTCTCACCATCTGGGGACCCAGTGTGCTGTGGTGCCCTTGCTGAAGGAAGGCTAATTGTCCTAATGTGACCAAGAGAGCCTTCTCACGGCCACGCACAACGACAGAGACCATGTCAACGAGCATCCCAAGGTAGGACAGAGGCAGAGTGTTTCGGATTTTCTTTTACAATTTGGTGGCAACTGCTGGAGAGGCCGGTCTAATTTGTAAGAAGTTAAACAAAGAGCCTTAGGAAGACAAACAGGAGAAAGAACCTTGGATTTATTATAGAATCCGAGGCCTGGCTTTTTGAGCCAGGCTTAGTTTAATTAGCATACACCATAATGCTTGGCACCGAGGAGATGCTTAATAAATATTTATGCACAAATGAATGAATTTTGAGCACATCACTTAACCCTTTGTACACTCAGTCTCCACGTCTACAAAATAGGACGATTCAACTAGACAGTTGTCATGATTGTAAAAATGTCTTGATTTAGAGATACCTATTTTTCCCTTATTATCTACTTTCACACGTGACTAAAGCAAATTATAACCAAACCTCATTAATTTAGAATTATACGAGTAAGCTTCATCTAATTCATTAAAATCTGAATTACAAAATATATTAAGAGAAATACAACATTACTTTTTAAAAATTTAATAAATAGGATGAAGACGTAAGATTAATTAGATAAAATGATTTGTACACTTATGTTCCAGATTGATAAATCCAAACTTTAAAATGTCCTAACAATAAAATATAGTTCTGAGTTTGGATGCTAAAGACTTTCAGGGTAGCTCCTTTGTGCTTCTTTCTTTCTTTCTCCTTCCTTCCTTCCTTCCTTCCTTCCTTCCTTCCTTCCTTCCTTCCTTCCTTCCTTCCTTCCTTCCTTCTCTTTCTTTTTATTTTTGATGTTTACTTTTGTTTTTCCAACTAGAAACTAAGCCTCTGAAGTCAGGGAGGATGCAGTATAGAGCTTGTGAGATTTTGAAAATGTGCAGAAGTATTGCAGAAGCTTCTACTCAACAGTTGCTATGGACTGAACTGTGCACTCCCACCCTGCAAATTCCCAGGGGAAGCCCCACCCCTCAGTATGACTACTTTGGAGTAAGGGCCTATACGGAGGTCTTTAAGGTTAGATGGGGTCATAAGGGTGGGACCCGGAGCCAACAGGATTGCTGCCCGTGTAAGAGGAGCTGCCAGAGAGCTCGCTGTCTCGGCACACATGCGCAGAGGGACGGGGGCAGCTGGGCAAGTCCGGAAGCCTCAAAATGCAATCGGCCTGCTGCCCCCTGGATCTCGGACTTCTGGCCTCCAGAACTGTGAGGAATCAATGTAGGTGGTTTAAGCTGAAACTACCCAGTCCATGGACAGCAACCCAGGCAGAATAATACAATAGTAATTTCAACACCACACAAATCTCTCCTGTCTCCTTGTAGATGAAGAGCTCTGACCCACAGGCTCTGGTCTCACTCAAGGCTCACTAGAGATCCAAGCCCCACCCTCCCCATCCACCTCTGCATGCCACCGTCCACCCCTATGCTGCCATCCACCCCTGCACACTATCCACTATCCACCCCTGCACTAAACCAGTCACCCCTACACTCCCACTATTCACCCCTACCCCTATCATCCATCCCCACAACACACCATCCATTTCTGCCATTCACCCCTCATGCCACCATCACCACTGTACTCAACCATCCACACCTCACTCAACCATCCACCCTTACCCCTCATCATCCACCCCATACCCCATCGCCCACCCCTGCACTCAACCATCCACCTCTGCTCCCCACCATCCACCCCTACCCTTCACCATCCACCCCATCCTCAACCACCCAATACTACCCCTCACTATCCTCCCCAACCCCACCATCCAATCCTACCCCCATCATCCGTCTCCCCACCATCCACCCCTACCCCTCACCATCCACCCCTACTCCCCACCACCCACCCTACCCTCTCTTACTCAGGACATGCACCCCACTTCAGGCACCCGCCCAAAGCCCATGCATCCACCAACCTGCCTGAGAGAGCAAAAGACCCTTCACCTAAATTCTTATCTACTCTTCAAGGGTTTCCATCCATTCCACTCACCCTCTGAGTTATTGCCATTGCAGTGGGGGAGACATTTCACTTGAGGGAATAAAGGGTTTTTTCGGTCCCCTCTCCCTTAAAAAAATTTGAAGGAGTTGAGCAATGAAAAGCTGCCCTTCCCTTAAGACACAAATACATTGACCCAGCATAGTGTACTAGGCAGTACCCTAGCATGCAGCAGGCAAATACAGAGCACCTGCGTCCACCTGAACTTCAATCAACCACAAATAATTTCTTAACTTATACTAGATCTAGATGACACTATATACAACCCTACTCTACTACCATGTATTAGATTATGCCAAAAAATAATCCATGGTCCTTGTAAATGCACACTTACCTGGCACATTATATTTTGCTTGCTCTATCTGGCAACTCCTTCCATAAGGGAAGTCTGAAGTGAACAGTCGAGCTGGGAGAGCAGAGTCATGTGGGCTGGGGGAATGATGGGGTCTCACAGTCGTGCCCATCAGCCCATTGACCACACCTGCATGGCACAGGGAGATAGAGGGGAGGGCAGGTGGGTCCCGGCACAGTCACCCCTTCATCAGCCCTTCAACCACAGCCTGCACCGCATTCATCCCATGAGCTGTCACCCAGCACCCACCAGGAACTAAGCAAGAAGGACATGGTGGTGTCCTCAGGGAACTTAGGGAGGACAGTATCTCCCCCACAACACAGTTCAATCGAATGTGCCAAGGGGCAGGTGTTAGTCTAATATTAACCAGTGCTGGGAACACTGCATGATCTTAGTTCCTTCTTGAAACGTTTGTTTTCAAAGGGCTGAAGGAAAATACATCACAGTGAAACAGAATTTGAACCAGCCTCTGGCCTTGAGCACCAGTGCACCAAGCAGATGCTGGAGCAGCCCCAGTACAGGCAGCAGCACATGGGGTCTGGGGGCAGCCGGGGATCCAAGCTGAGCCTGGGACACATGTGAGGTGAGCGGCCAGCAGCACACCCCACTGTCACCTGGTGCCTTGGTAAACGAGGCTGCCAGAAAAAGCAGGGATTAAGCAAGCGTTTATTTTGCCTGGGGTCATCATTTTTGCAATATAAACTTGCGTCATTAATTTGCACAGGCATCTGACCACTTTGTGAAATGTGGAGTTTCTGAGGGCGGCAAGGCACCTAGAATCCAGCACCTTCCTGTGCTGCCCACTCTGGCAGAAGCCCCAGGCAGAGAAGGAGGCTGCAGAGAGGTAGACTAGCTGATGAAATTTCTGATTTTGTAACTCGAGCCTTCTTTCTCATTAATTTTTTTCACTTTTCCCTTTTTATGGAAATAGAACACACATACAGAAAGTACACTTTAAGTATCAGCTTGATGAATTTTCACAGCCCGCGCTCACCCTCGTCATCAGAGCCAGGTGAACAATCTGAACACACAGCAGCCCTGAAGCCACTCCCAGGCACCAAGCTCTGCCACGCCCACTTCTGAAGGCAGAGAGTCATGTGCCTGTGTTTTTGCACTTTATACAAATATATTTTGTCTTACATCTTAATTGCATGTGTTATTTATCCCCAAGTTCCCTGAGGACAGAGCCATGTCCTTGTTCCCTTCTGATCAGTTCCTGGTGGGTGCTGGTGACAGCTCTTGGGATGAGTACACACTTGCTAATGAAGGGGTGGCCGTGCCTGGACCCACCCGCTCCCTCTCTCAACCTCCCTGTGGTTGACAGGTTGCTGGGCACGGCTGTGGGACACCATCAATGATTACTCTCCCTTTCAGAATCAGCAACACAAGTAGTGCTTTCAACCCAAAAACTACCTTAGCACCAGGCCATAGATATTTTGCAAAAGCCATGGGATACGGAGCTGGTGCAAGCGGAGTCTCTGTATTCGAAATGCCTGGTACCAGAAGTGTTCCGAATGTTTTATTTTTTCACATTTTGGAATATTTGCGTATACATAATGAGACATCTTGGAGATGCTACCCGAGTGGAAACACAAAATAAATTCATTCTTTATATACACATAGCCTGAGGTAAATTTACACAATTTTTTAATAGTTTGTAAATGTAACGAAATTTTGGTTACATTGTGACTGCAACCTGTCACATGAGGTGATATGGTCTGGCTGTGTCCCCACCCAAATCTCAACTTGAATTGTATCTCCCAGAATTCCCACGTGTTGTGGGAGGGACCGAGTGGGAGGTAATTGAATCATGGGGGCTGGTCCTTCCTGTGCTATTCTCCTAATAGTGAATAAGTCGCATGAGATCTGATGGGTTTATCAGGGGTTTCTGCTTTTGCTTCGTCCTCATTTTCCTCTTGCTGCCACCATGTAAGAAGTGCCTTTCGCCTCCCACTGTGATTCTGAGGCCTCCCCGGTCATGTGGAACTGTAAGTCCAATTAAACCTCTGTTTCTTCCCAGTTTCAGGTATTTTTTTAATCAGTGACATGAAAACGGACTAACACATGAGGTCAGGTGTGGAATTTTTCACTTGTGGCCTCAGGGTAGTGCTCTAAATGCTGTAGCTGTCAGGGCATTTGGGATTCCAGGTTTTTAAATTAGGGATGGTCAGCCTGTATGGCAAAAAGCTAGGTGCGGCATCCTCCAGTCCGCAGGCCTGAACACTGGGCTACTAATGCAGGAGAAGGCAAGATTGATCTGATGTCAAATATTGAAACTGAAACGTGTCAGTGCCCGTGTGGATCAATGTTTCATGTGAGGACAATGCTGACATTTTTCTAACCAGCTGGACGATTTTAAAGCATTGTGCTGAAAGAAAGACAGAGAATTATTATTTTTTTAAAAATCTCCCTAGCTTATAAAGTTTAACACTGAAATACAGTCCTTAAGAATATCTTCTTCTAAGTGTGGTGTACAAATTCCATTTCTGCGGTGGTTTGAGGCTGATGTGCTTCTACAAGATGGTTTTGTGGTCTGGTCTAGCTAGGCAGACCCTTTTGTTTCTGTTTCCAGAAATATGTCAGGCATGTTGTCCTGTTGGCAACACTTTAATTCATCCTAAAGTGTTGCCCTACAACACTTTAATTCATCCTTGGTCACAGTTTTCCAGGGCCTCTGGGCATAGGCGTTGATAATCTACACCTGGTAATACCAACGTCTGGCAGTCCAGCCTGACAATGATTCCACCACCTGTCAATGGAGCAGGTTTCAATGTAAACAAGTGTGTGAATAACTGCTGAAATATTGATGCTTTATTGCCTCAATGGAGGCCACAGCTTCCTTTCTTTTATGATAGTACCTGAAATAGTGTTTGATAAGAGCCTATCCAAAGTCCTCCTCACATTCAGCATCTTAGAGTCCAAAAGAAACGTGTTCTCGGGGTTTCTGTTCCAATTCCAGAAGATCCAAGCAGATCCTGGGAGTCATCGTCATTTTCTCCTGCTCACATCACAGAGTGTGATTCTGAGACCCTCTAGCTGTCCCAGTCCCCTATGCCCAAATTCATTCATTCACTTCAGTGCTTCGAACACTCTCTTTAATTCTCACAAGCCCCAGGTTGATGCATTCTTCTGAAATCCTTGCTTGATGACACTAAGTAGCCATTCCCTGCCTTTCTCGGTCGCCTCACACTTTCTATTTTCTCATTGCACATAGTAAAATATGTAATTTTATATTTGCTTTTCATTTTACTTTCCATCTCCTTCACCAATATGGAAGCTCCAGGAAGGGAGAGGCGATGGACTTTCTTCCCCTGTTGTTTTGCTACCGTCACGCACACAATGCCTGAATTACAGTCGCTGCTCAATAAACATCTGTTAATGATGGTAGTGGCGCAGGGGCTCGGTGCGGGTGAAAATCTCCCTGTATTCCTCTTTAGCTCAGCACTCAGGGCACATTCCTTCCTGTGCACAGTGGAAGGTGACTCCGCTGAGCCCTCAGTCACCGCAGCCTCTGCAGAGGTCCGGGCACACGGCCACCTCAGAGCCCTCCTGCAAGCACAGCAGCCTCGCACGCAACCTGGAGAACGTGCACATGCGTGGGACTGGCCCTGGTTCCCGCCACACTGGGAGGTGGCCTGTGCAGAGTTGTCATATAACAGCCCTGCCCAGGGGAGGGTGGGACGTCCCGGTTTCACATGGGTAAGATTCTTTAGGGCAGGCTCCCTACAACACTTAGCATATAAATAGTGTTTATTCATGTGCTCATCCAAACATTTGTTGCCCAGTGCAAATTCACTAGAATCATAGCGTCAAACAGCTGGACCGTCACTCATCATCACACATAGGCTTGAGGAGTCCCAGAGCTAACGTCAGCACGATGATGGATGGACGAGTGAGAGATAATTAGATAATAGATTAATAGAGACAGATAGATGGTAGATAATGATGATAATGAACTTAGGTATAGATAGACAGTAGATGTGGACAGGTAGGTAGGTAGGTAGATAACAGATTAATAGAGATAGACAAAAGAGAGAAAGATAATCAATTAATAGATAGATAGAGATCGATGAGAGAGATGACCCTGACTTTATCATTTATTATTATCATTTCAACAAGGCAGAGACTCCAGCCTATGGAGAAGCTGTTGGTGGTGCGGCTGGGGTGTGCAAATGTTTATACACACGTGTGTTTTTAAGGGGGAAGAAAGGAAGGAAATGGGGGAGAGGAAGGAAGAAAAACAACGGGTCAAAGCACCCAGGGCCGCCATTCATGGGTCCACGTGTTAAATAGGTGGTTATTTGGATAGATGCTGCTGAAAGCTTCTGCTACCTCCCCCAGGTCAGGAATGAAACACACAGGCCCTGGTGGAGGTTCTGGTTTTTTCTGGAATTGTTCTGCTGGAACCTGCTCTCTGTGAATTGACGGCTAATGAGACAAGCAGCTGGAGCAAATGAAGGGCAGTGCTCTCCTCCTGTGTCCATCTTGTGGGCTCCTCCTAGGCCGAGGAAGCTCGCTGCCCAGGCTGGGACAGACCCCCAAACAAGGGGATCTGACAGTTCCACAACCCTCAGCCCGTGGGGACCAAAGCAGGTGAGTCTCCACCCAACCTCTCTCCTTTGGACCAGCATGAACTCTGGAGGCGTCTGGGCGCAGCTGCCTCAGACCCTACTGTCTTTAACGGAGACTGAGGTTGCAGTTCAGCTGGCTTTCTTGTTCCTACTTCCCTGGGTCCCCCTCAAAGGAGCCGCCTGCGCCCCGTGCCACCTCACTCTGGCTTGGCCCTGCTTCTCCAAACCACCAGGCCTGCCCTCCCTTGTCCTCACAGAGCTGACAGTCTCCACAGTGCTGTGCAGACTTCAGCTCCAAGAAGCTGCAAATGTTCGAGATAAAATCCTTTCCTGAGAGCATCATGAACCGTGGCCTGTTTGAGGGCAAAAGAGGAAATGAGAACCAAGACAAGCCAAGACTTCCAAGTGAGCCCTGAGACACCTCTCAGCTGGCTAGGTGGCCAGAGATCCACCCTGCAGGAGCCGCACCGAGGCAGGTGGGCCACATCTCCCAGCAAGTGGCACACAAGAAGGCTCCTCCCAAGAGGAGACATCTGTGGTCTTCCCAGAGCTAAGGCAGCAGGTCCAGGAGCCCAGCCAGTCACTGGCCACCTGCAGGCCTCTACGCTGCAGACCTGGCCAAGCAGGCGGTGCCCATGGCCCCTTGCGAGTGGGCCCAATGTGGTGG